TGATACCGTGTTGTCTTGGCTTTCAGACGTGACACTGTGAAGTGCCGTCGGAGCAGCCAGTCGTGCTGAAGCACGACTGGTCGTAAAGGAAAAGGCCAAGACACACACACACACATCGTTTCGATATTGTCGTGCCGCGAGATGTCTCATGAAATGCAAAATAAGTCCGATACCTTCGAGACTGAACAAACTTGTTTTGTACCAGAGTTGCGAGAGCCTTCGCTTATGGCCGGTGGAATTAACCCATTGGCGACCGCCTTTTACTTCGTCCTTACATTAACTTTTAATTTCTCTTATAACTGTAGTTGGAAGCGAATGATTCCTAGACCACGACGCCTCAAGATTCTCTAGAAGGTTGCGAGCTCAGCTGATACTTGAAAATACGAAAAAAATTATAAGAACACTTGATAAATAATATAAATACTATAGAAGCACGATATGGTGTGGCCCGCCGGCGGGCCACGCGGTCGTCAATGGGTTAAGGATACGGTCAGTGCCCATAGTTTCGACTCAGATTCAGGTATACCTCAAGCTTATAGAAGAAGTTAATCGTCCACGGGCGGAAATTCTAGCGGAAATTTCGAACACCTCCGTCTAGGCGATAGGAGGCGTGACTAAATACAGGCCGTAGTAGAGAGAAGCATGGCACGCATACAAAAGAAATTAAAGCGACTAAAGATCATTGCAGAGAGTCGCAGCAGTGTCATAGCCGCGCTAGATGTAGTGAAACAGTAAGCGGACGGGAACGGAGACGAGGAGCTAGCTAGTAATTTAGAGCAACTCCTAATGAACGGGAAAACCCTACAGAGGGTGGCACGTAGGCTGAGCTGCGCTGACCATGAAGTTAAACGCTATGTAAAAGGGCTAATAAAGAAAGAGTAATAAACCCCCGGAAAACACAGTTTCGCCGTTACAGAAGCTGTGTAACAAAAAGAACGACAAGATAAGAGCTCTAAAGGAAGAGCTTAAAGACGTCGAGTGGCTGAACTGGAACACGATACAAGGGAAGTCAAGGCTTACGCCTAGTATCAATGTCAATGATAGCCAAGAAGAAAGTGCAAAATTGCAGATTGGCTGGCACACGCTGGTAAGTAAGAAGGATTGTCGGCGTACGTTCGATAGTTCAGTAGAGAGGTCAAATAACAAGAGTGAAAGGGTGAGAAGGAAACATAGGACGTCTAGATTAAGAACCCAAGATACAATGGGCGAACATATGAGATATTGGCCTTGCCTGATGTTTCGCCGTACTCACGGAAAGAAAAGGAGTACTCGTTCGAAAATTTTGTAGAAGCGTTTGAGTTGAAATATCCCGGCCAATATTGGGATGATAAAGAACGGTGCGTTTTGTTCAAATCAAAGTTGATGGGTAAGGCAAGAGCGCAGTATGAAGTGCTAGCCAAAATTTAAAAGCGCAACTTTCACACACTAGTGAATGCAATGAAAGAGATGTACAAGGAAGAGACGAGCAATAAGAAAATCATTGCACTAGGTGAACTGGAACGTCTTCGAAAACCAGAAACACAGTCGGTATGGGATTTTTGCGTAGAGTTGGAGCGACTGACGCGTAGAGCCTATCCTGAGTTGGAGGAAAGGACATTATTAGTCATCCGCGCTGATTACCTACAGGGTGGGCCAAAATTACGATTACAGCGGTCGCTGACGCTCATAGCAAATTTTTCCTGAGTTCGTGACAATTCGTTCGCTTTCGTCCATTTTATAATACAAGGTAGATTACATTATTATCTTGTCAATGATACTAAACTTTTGGTAGATTTTGAAAATAAAGTAAGGGTCACAACCTCATGAATCAATCGTCGCTTTGCATTTTCAGGCACTTTTGGCACGCTGAATCTACAGACGACTTGGCGTAACGAGGCGGGTCTTGCCTTCGACCATGGAGTGGTAAACCCAAGGGGCCTGCGGTTATATTTAGGGGGAGTGTTAAAGGAACGGTTCACGATAAAAAAGGTTACTGATTTCTTCCTTAAGGAATACTCAGCGCCCCCCATGGGTGGTAGAAGGGAACCTCTCGCTCCCACATTCTCGGCGCTCAGGGCATAGTGGAAGCCCCGTTGATGCCGTAGTTCGCTTTCCCGCCCCTCGATCGGTGTCACGTTAGACGAGTGTCGAGACAATACAGACTGCTATTATTCGTTCTAGGATCCACGCACAATCAGCGATCGTCGAGTGATGAGGCGATTTTTTCTCCCAATCTTTTTTCCTCGGTTTTTCTTTTCGTTGCCGCGATCCCTTATTCAATTTCCTACTCCTAGAGGCTGAAAAAGGTGAGCTACTTTTGCTGTTACTAGGTTTTTTTTTGTTTATTTATGCTTATAAGTGAATGAATTTTTGCTTACCATTGTATGTTATTCGCACCAGGACCCACACGCGCGCAGTGAAACACACTGTTTAGCTCGCCCGGACGCCCGACTGTTCTTCATTTTTCTGGTTTCATTCTCGTCCAGCCCTCTTTTTAACGGTTTTTCGAAGCCTTTTTTCACTTTGGAAACACCGATGCACGTAGTTTCTTCACCTCAGTCGCACTAGTTTCGATCTTGTCTTCCATTTTTCATCATAATTTGGATTACCCAAAAGTATCGTGAACTGTGCCTTTAAGGGAGCAGGGCGAAGGTCTGCGTAGCAGCGAAGTTCATTCTAAGCCCAAAATAGCCAAATGAATGGAAATCTCATGAAGTTTTCTGGGCAAAATCGTGAAGCATCATCTGCACAACATGGCCTTAATACGATCAGAAAATGATCTCCCCAGTGAGCAGGCTAAAGAGAAGAAAAAGGTTGGCTCACAAGAGTTGCCCCGCCGCATCGGAAAAAATTGTCGTACGTAAATCCTGTTCACCGACGAAAAGATATTCACGGTGAAAAAGGTGCTCAATAAACAGTGCGACAAGATTCGTGTGAAGCTGAAAGAAATGGAAGTGATGCAGCGCTAGGCTCCTTGACTTTCTGCGATGGCCTCTGCGAGCGTCACCGCCGAGGCAAAAGCACCGATTACTTTTGTAAATGCAAGAGTGAAAGTTGATCTGGAGGCCTGTTCAATCCCTTTGTGCGCAATAGGACACTTTGGCGATTCCAACCGGATATATTGCCAGGATGAAGCTCCTGAACACAGATCGTGAATTATCTAGAAATTTCGTAAAAGGGGATCCCTGACGTCATGACTTTTGATGAGTGACCACTCTGGAGCCCTCACCTAAATCCCACGGATGTCCCAGTGTGATCAGCCTTTGAGATAAAGACAACCGTTAGCTCAAACAAGAAATGAAATAATCTCGAAAATGTCTTGCAAAAAGCCGGGATCAGTTCGATGACCTTAGCTGCGTGCCACCGTCAATGCCGTCCATCGTCGTTTCTGGGGTTGTGTGAAAGCAGAAAACAACACACCCCAGTTTCAGTGTACTATTTTGATTTTGAAGAAATTAGTGATAAACACTTTTTTGAAGATGGCTTGTTTTATTAGCTTTCTATTCATTTTCGGGGATGTAATGTCTGTGTAATCATAATTTTGGCCCACCCTGTGTACGACCAGCTCTCTCACTGGGACGAATCTTGTCATCTACAAGAGCCGCTAGAAGGGCCTGGTTGCGACATGTACGAAAAGCTGAAGGATGCCGCAACGAGAGTCGAAAGAAGGCATTTTGCTCTCGAAAATCGCGCAAGGAGTAAGCCTTCATCAAGCCCATGGACGCAAAAGAAAGGGAAAAACTTTCGAATGAGACGTCCAAAAGAAGTCCATGTGGAACACGGAAAGCAGTAACGCTGATCTGGAAACAAACAGAGCGACCAAAGAAGCACAGGGTATGAGGTGCTTCAAGTACAAAAAGACAGGACACAAGGCACGTGAGTGCAAGAGCATTGCCAGCCGTAGCTCTGGTACTGCCATGTCACTGTCGGCACGAGTTTTCAAAGCAGTGTGCAGTGCCGCCTGTACCAAGCAGACAAGGTCATGTAGGAAGCTTCTCCCAGCCATTGTTGGCAAGCGATCAACAATCGATGTGACAATGTCAGGAAGGGATAGGAAGGCGCTTCCTGATATAGGATCAGAAGTGTCTATCCTTCCAGCAAAAGTGCTTCAGCAAGCAATGAATGATGGAATCGACATTGATACCGCTGTCACATGTAGCTGTCAAGGATCTTCTTACAGATACCTCGAGAAGGGTTACGGATTTCTCGACCGCAGTGGAGTTAGATGTTGTAAATAGGAGAGACACCGCCAAAACTCTGGTACAAATGTTGGTGTTCGAAGGCAAAGAGGACTTGATCATACTGGGAATCAACGCTTTTCCATCAATGGGATATCAGGTCAAGAAAAGCCTGCGAGGACCGAGAGAAAAGAAGACATCACGACAGCGAGAAGAAACCGAATCGAATCCTGTGGCTGTTGCGAAACAGAGAGTCTTCATAGCTCCCGTACCAACCAAATACGTGGACCTCAAGTGTGAAGAAGAATGATCAGAAGCAGTATTGAACACGAAAGACAAAAGGATCCCAAATGGTCTATGCAAAATAGACATCGATGAAGTGACGAAGGTAGCGGTCGTCAACACAAGCGATGAGCCCATGGTGATGCGAAAAGATCAGCAGGTAGGCGAGCGGGAAATGCCTAATGGGACGAACACCGCTTCAGAAACACTCCAGCAGAAATGCTGTGCAGTCAAGGCAAGTCGATGTCTGTGAAGAAGAGGTTGGATACCTTGTTCGAGTTATTAATCAGAAACAGGAATGGAAGAGCGCTAAGATGCAAGAGATTGTACAAAATAGCAATCATGTTTTTGCTGTAGAAGACAGCGAGTTGACGCAAACCTTTTTGGTAACTCACGATATCGACACGGAGACACCAAATCAATCCGCCAAAGGACCCGACCAGTTCCTATCGGTGCCCGTGATCAGTTCAAGGATATTCTGAGCAGTCTATTACAAAGAGGAATCATTGCAGAGTCAATGTCTGAATAGGCGTCGCCGGTAGTGCTTGTGCGAAAGGAGGACGGCAGATTCGTTTATGCATAGACTATCGCCAATCAAACAAATGCACAAAGCATGATGCCTACCCATTGCCAGGAACTGAAGCCATGCTGCAAAGTCTGCAGATCAAACGGTATTTCTCGACGCTGGACATGACCTCGGGATATTGGCAAATACCACTGACTGCCGCAGCAAAGGAAAAGAGCGCTTTCATAACTTCAGAAGGCCTTTTTCAATTTACTGTTCTTCCATTCGGATTAACCACGTCGCCTGCCGTTTTCCAACGTCTAATGGACACGGTGCTACGCG